GAATCTAAAATGAAATGAAATTGAGTTCATGTAAAATTTTCAGTGGAGAAAATCAATTAACAGTATAAAACTCATATAATATGATATTATATCATATAAAAAAAAAACAAAATCGTAATGTTTATAACATAACAATTTAAAACATAAAAATAATAATTATTATCCGAAAAAATCATACTGCAAATATGACAATTGTAGTGCATTACGAAAAAAATCATAATAAATAACTCTAATAAGCATAAAATATTTACCTATTCATGAGAGATATGCTATGTTATACCTATTGTAAATGTATATTTCAAACTGTGAATTAAAATGATGTGATACAATTTGTAGATATTCTAACTTCTAAGTCTAGAAACAATCCTCTATTATAGCTATTTATATGGTTTCTCGTATTAGCGAAAACCCTATAAATAACCCTACCTATATAATAAACTCTTTTTTTTTAATTTTTGAGTTAATTTGGTTTAAATATATATTATTGAGTTTTACATAATCAAAACCTTAACACTGGTGGAGTTTTCATGTACCCATTACAGATAAGAAAATAAAACTGACAGAGTTTACATTAGATTTTGTATTACATTTTTATCTAACCAGTAACCACCATTTGGTATTCTGACGGAGCTTACTTTCGTCCAGGTGGTCGACAGGGAGAGGAAAGTACATTCATCGTATTATATTGTATCTTTGATACTTAAATCAAATCAAATTTTATTAAAAAAAAAAAAAAAAACATTAAACTATTTAAACTATAATGTTTTGTTTCTGTAGGTATATATTGAATATAGACATATAACAGACATTTTATAAGACATTGTCTAAAAAATATTTTTTGGTCAGTAATCCATATTATAGTACCTGTACGTAATACACTAATATGTAAAAGAACAGCCAAAATAGGTATATTATACAATACTTCGTAGTTACTTTGTGAGATCGATATACTCATGAAGAGTAGTTATATTTTTTATAAAACGAAAACGACCTTTTCATAATAATTTTAGAAATACAAATACCTATATTTCACAAAATGATCATTTTTTATGAAATAGTTGATCTAAATTTCGCATCATACAATTTATTACATTTTGTCATTCACGTATTGTGTAATGAAATTAAACATTAACCGCGCACAATTATTATTATTTATAAATGTCAACTTATAAAATATGATTTATTTAATACATAAATTAAATATTTATTAACACCATTCAAAATTGTATACATATATTTTTAGTTGTAATTATGTAAAGAAAAATTAAATAKCTAGTTTACAATAACTTGATTTGGTTTCTATTTATTTAAGCAGAATAGAAAGTTTTGACAACAGTTGCATTTTATGCAACCTTTGATTTGGTTTGACATGCAATTTTACACGAACAACTTATGAACTCTTAACTTGGCGATAAAATTTGACAGTTTCCAGTTTTCAAAAAAGTTAATACATTTTGTTTCTCAACTTGTTTAGCTGGCATAAAATGTATCATATTTCTAAAATTTAACCATTCTTTAATAAAAACCCGTTGAGTAGGTTGAATTTCAACTTTGTATATATCAATATATCATTGTGTATAACTCGAAGGTTCTTTATCGACTTTGAAACGAGAATATTGTAATGCAGTCAATAATCTTGAACTCTAGATAAATATGGTATTGCTAATTTCTAACAAATATCAAAAAAATAAAAAAATATTTAATAATAAATTGTACTCCTGTTTAAATTATTTTCTTTGTTGAATTTATATTTATATGATTTATAACTTTATAAGTAAGTTCCTATAACATTTTTTTGGTTGGTTATTTTGACCCACTTTCTGTTCGTCTTAAATTTTCTTACTAAGAGATTTGTCTTTGACAAATTCTATAAAAATTCAGTTTTATATATTTTACGTATTTTAAAAGATTTTTCGAAATATTTAAAACGATATTATTAGGTATTGTTTTTATTATAAAAGTGTGATTATTCATTAAAACTTGATGATTTAATTCCTGACTAAAATAATTAACAGTTATTTCTTAATATTCAATACTTAAATTACAAAACAAAATTGAAAATATATTTAAAAATAATGAATATTGAATATTTTGTAATGATAATTATTATAGTTGAATTTAATTTTCCAGCTATTTTGAAGTTATTTTCTCCAATTAATTGCCATCGAGTATCGATTATTTGTTGTGAATATGATATGTAAACATATTTAAATCTATGTATGATAAATACCATCAAAAACATAGTCATCGTAGTGTCTTGGATCATACGATGAAAAAATAATAATGTGTTGAAAATTAGTGACATATTTAGTATCAATATGTACATATACAACTTGGGTAGGTATCTAAATAAAGTCTTATACAGTTTTGGTAATCAAATTTTTTTTATTTTTCCCTTGAAACAAATCATATTTTAAATTATCCGTTGATGAAATTGTATGTAAACTCATATTTACTTTTTAATTTTCGATAATTATCATCAAATTATGAATTACAAATTGTTTCCATTAAACTTAGTCCCCTCCAAGGGAAAAATATAAAAATTTGATTTATAAAACTGTATAAGATTT